ATCGCCATCATATCTATACCTCTCTCTATGTTTAATATGAAAAACAATTCATTTTGTTTGTAATAATACAAGCACAGTCGTCTCTAACGGCAAGTATGAGTAGTTGAAGACCTCGGGGATCAAGTAGGATTCAACTGATATATCAAGATGACATAAAATTGAGATATATTTGCTGTTTACATGCCAAAGTTTGCTAAACTGTCACAAACCATTTAGCCACAGCAAGCTATTCATTCACAACATAGGCACCTTCCCTTGGTCCTCAGCGACCACAGAGAAGCATGTGGCTCCTTGGGGGTGACCTGCGTGGCAATAAGGGACGGGAAACTGCAGGGGGCGAGGGCAGTTAGGTTGATGGTACAGGGAGATAAGTGAGATCGTTTTACAACTGAAAAACCCTATTCCACAAAAGGAACAGGCGAAAGCTGAAACTTTGTGAGATTTACAGAACAAAGGAAGCTGTTCAATTCTAGTCACTTACTGACTCGGGTAGTTGGGGTAGAAATGCGCGGCCAGTATGACCTATGAAACATCTTTAGTTCATTAAAATGCGTAAAACATTTATTGATAAAAAGAAAATGCAATAAGTCATTTAAAAAAATATATAAAAAAAACATCAGTAAAGGCACGCCCAATCCCCCAACCAAGTCTGCATGTATCCATACTCATACTTGCAAACTCGCATCCTCAACAACATAACCACTTCACACAATCATCTCACTACAACCACGCCATCCGTTGTATCCCCACGCAAACATCGTATTCATCTTTACCCACCATACCCACAACCACGTCTTCGTCAACCGTCATGGATCCATGTGCATGCTTACCGGCTCCATCCTCCCACTATTCCCAAACATAAATCGAACTATAACCATAGCCGTCATCATGTTTCCGTATTCTCATGCATACACCCTTCTACCATTCACTTAATAAATATAACTATAACTATAATCATAGCCGTCATCATGCATCCGTATTAGTGCTCACATACATACACCCTTCTACCATTCCTTTACATCCATTGCACTATAACTATAACTACAGCCGTCATCATGCATCTGTATTCGTGCTCACATACATACACCCTTCTACCATTCCTTTACATCCATTGCACTATAACTATAACTACAGCCGTCATCATGCATCTGTATTCGTGCTCACATATATACACCCTTCTACCATTCCTTTAATAACTATAACTATAACCATAGCCGTCATCATGCATCCGTATTCGTGCTCACATACATACACCCTTCTACCATTCCTTAACATCCATTGCACTATAGCTATAACTACAGCCGTCATCATGTATCCGTATTCGTGCTCACATATATACACCCTTCTACCATTCCTTTGCATCCATTGCACTATAGCTATAACTACAGCCGTCATCATGTATCTGTATATATTAAACATCAGTGAACAGAGATCATTAGAACACAATAGATTTACTCCATGTAAACAGGAGAGGCATTCAGGATTTTTACAATGACATCAGAACGCATCAAGGCGCTCAACTGGTCAGCAGGTGACATCTCTGTTACAGGTCGCCATACATCTCCATAGGAAACGGTTGAAAGCTTTTTTTCATACAGCGATTTAACAGCCACCTTGAAATTGCCATTTACACCAACTTTTGCAGTTGATATCAAGGACAGCCGCGATGAATTCGATCTAAAGCTTTCATTGAGTCGATGTAGCAGACAAAGATCGAACGTTTTGACAGCTTACGGTTGTTAATTACAGACTACAATGTGTGACTATGTGCCTCTGGAAAACTACCATAACTGTCAAGTCATATACTGAAACGGGTATTTAAAATGTCAGCATAAATCTTACCCTGGTATCTATATAAGCGAAATGCAATGATAACTTTAAGGATATCTTGGATCTGTGCCAGGTTTGCTGATAAGACTAATTATACATTGTATCCACATATCAGGACATATATCGAGATCAAAACAATACGAAAATACCTGCAGCAAAATTTCGATCATGCATGAAATATTTTTCAATAACTTCTGTTGGAGGACAATCGATACCTGCAGCCTTCCCGAACTTGGCTCGGGTAATAACATCTCGGGTGATAGAGTGATTTAAATCATCAGTATCACTATTAATACTATCGGACATTTCTTAAAAATTGAACGGTTGGAATGTTCACAATTTTTCATGCGATGTAATGACATAGTCGACCACAGAGCACCCATTCTTCACATACGTGTAGCAGGCGGCAGATAGCAAACACAGAAAACGAGTACCAAATCTTGATCCACACATGATGTTACTTTGAACCAAAATCTGTGTCATCGTCTAAAACATCCACACTGACATTTGTTATAAATGACCAGCAGACCTGCGTTTGGCCAATGCATATTCTTCTTATTCAGTATCAACTTTATCTTATGTTCGAATGTATCTTGTGTTGTTAATTGTTGCTCGGATGTCTGCGTTAGTCAAAATGTTATCAACACAAACGTCAGAGACATTGTCACAATCAATATTACAACACCCATAAGGAGTATACTTCATGTATGTATAACTGACATGCATCTTCTTGTGAGTTATTGGAATCATTTGATTAAAGCTGCAAGCGTAAGAAACAGTAAAGACAAACGGGGTGTAACACCAGAGTGAGTCAGTACAAGATTGCAAACTGACCCATAATCATGTATGACAAACTAGTTGGGTAGCGCTGCATGTATATGTGAACCCTAAAACTATTAATAAACAGTGTCCTCAATTCCAAGCAATATTGGACAAATATATAAGCTGACGGGCAAAAGAAACTATACCAAAGTATTTCTTTATTTTTAAAATATCACATTAGCACTGAACTGGAGTTTTCATTGGCAAACAAAGTCGCATGAACGCAGCTTCACCATTACTGAGTTTTAAAAATCCTGCTTCTTCACAAATATGGACTTTATCGAACTTTTTCATTAAAAATGGGATGAACGTGCACCACGACAAAATTGCTCGGAACGGTATAAAATCCGCCAATCTGTATGTTTTACACCACAATCGTACCGACCACAACATCTGACATGCCGAGACTGACTGCACAAGAGCGAGAAAGTGCAATCGGGATGTTGCAGTTTGGAGCACGCCATGCCGGTGTTGCTCGCATCTTCAACCGCACCAGAACAACGATAACGAGGCTGCAGACACGACTCACACAAACAGGTCGTACAGATGACATGCCAAGAAGTGGAAGACCCAGGGTCACAACCGCCAATGAAGATCGTTACCTTCGCATCTTACATCTACGCAATCGTTTCGTCACTGTGACGTCATCGGCAGCCACAGCATTACATCATGTGGTGAGCAGAAGAACAGTTGCCAGGCGTCTTCGACAACACAGTATTCGGGCCTACCGGCCCTTTCGCGGGATGACCTTGAGCCGTCGTGACCGACGTAACCGCCTCCATTGGGCAAGAATGGTACAGCGGTGGCAAAAAAGGAACTGGTAACGAATTCTATTCTCTGATGAGAGCAGGTTCCAGTTGTATTGAGCTGATGGCCGTGTGCGTGTGTATCGTCGGAGAGGAGAGAGAACAGCACAATGTTGTGTTCAGGAGACCGTGATATTCGGTGGTGGAAGCGTCATGCTCTGGGGTGGGATTTGCAGGGACCGTACAACAGACCTGGTTGTCTTTGACTGTAATTTAAATGCTCAAGTCTACATCGACCATGTATTGCGTCCTGTGGTGTTCCCTTACTCCAGAGTAATCTTCCAACAGGACAACCCTCGCCCCCACACCGCTAGAATCACCAGAGACTTCCTAACTGCAAATGATGTAAACCTTTGGCAATGGCCAGTAAGATCGCCTGACTTAACACCTATTGAGCACTTGTGGGACTATCTGGACAGACAAATAAGGGTAAGAAATCCCCCTCCATCAAGTTGTCAAACGTTCATTCAGGCAGTGTTGGAAGAATGGCGAGCCATCCCAAATGACGTCATCAGGGATCTTGTAAACTCCGTGCGGCGACGTGTCCAAGCTTGTATTCAGAGAAATGGAAGCCATACAATATACTGACAGTAATGCATTTGTTCTCGTAAAGATGATTTGTTTATTTTGCAAATTGACATTAACTCCCTGTGTCATTCCTTACATGATATTGAAGTTCCTGTAAGTGCCACATTATTTTTGTGTGATATATTTGATAATTTTGCCAACACCAAAGCAATGTTGGTATAGTTTATTTTGCCCGTCAGTTTATATGCATATCATATCTGTCAATGTACTCCAAATTCACCTTCTACAAAAAGCAGTTGTGGAAGCCGGCAATTTATTCAGGTTTATATTGGTCTGCATATTTGATGATTATTTAACTTGCGTAAGTTTTTATCCATTTCCTATACTGAGCTGTTCCTGAGCCTTGCGCTCTCCTAATTCTTGTGACTAAAATTCTCAACGTTATCATTTCACTAATTAATGAGAAATGCCTGCCGATCATAAATTATTAAAGCGAGATTGTACGACTCCCGTCTTATCATGAGATTGAATATATTATTCACTGTAAAATAGTGGTGACCTAAAATCTAGGAAACAATGTGCTAAATCGTACATGCACTGAACGTAAAATCTGAAGGATTGAATTCAGCACTTCAAATAAGAGCTACGAGTACAGAGTCAAACTCCGGCCTGTAATATGAGTGAGTGAGTGAGTGAGTTGGGTTTAACGCTGCTTTTAACAGTATTCCAGTCATATCACGGCGTGTCAGCTTAATGTGGGAGGAAAGCCCGAAGTGATGCAGGTCTCAGACGTTTACCACTTCGGTGAAACCCACGAGCACGGGTATGGTGCTGACAAACCTAGAAACATAATCGGGGCGAACCGGAATTCGAACCCACAATCATAGGTTTCTGGCATGCCCAAGGGACGCAACTCTGCACAGCGAATCGTGCCCCCCCCCCCCCCCCCCCCCCCCCCATCCCTGTAATATGATACGTGAGAACTGAGCAATGATATTTAAGAGGTAGAATACCCGTAGACGCTGCTGATTGATGAAATCGTTCTCTCCGAGTAAGCTTCGTTTTTTTTCCGTCCAATGACCATATACGGAAAGAAACGACGTTTTCGTCTTTGCAGTGTAACTTTGAGCTTCTTATAACTCGAAAAACATTAGGACTCGAATACTCGAGGCATGCGTACAACATGTTTATCAAGTCCATATTGCGTGACGTTGTAATTCTAAAATATAATTCAAGAATATCTGAGCTTTAACAAAGTTGACCCCAGGGCCGTAGTGCACACCATCCACGCTCCTCACTCCTTTAGTCATGTTGAAGGTATCAAACACGGGTACATTGAACGCCCCCACCAGGTCCTCCATATATCTGTTGAAGGGTTCAGCGTGTTCATTGTCTGAAGTTGATACAACTTGTCTGTGCCAGAGACCAAAATAATGAAAACCTGACCATATCAACTTTGGCCAGGTTTCATTCTTAAGTAAGGTGATTACAGCCATGGAATATTTCTTCATAGCTCGCTGATCAAATTGTTGCCATGATCCAGCGCCAAAAAAGATAATAGACTTTGGTTTTCCAAGAACCAGTTTGACATCTTGTCTCATCTTAGGAACGTCGTTACTCTGTGGATAATGACGGAAGAGCACTGATACCGTCCCGTTGCAGAGTTTAGGAGTGTAGTCCAGATACGCTCGACAGTTACGGTTTGGAAAGACATACATCCCGTAACATATTTTCTTAATGTCTGTAAAGAAACAAATATGTGTCAGGTTGGCTTGATTTGCTAGGACTTTAAACTGATATGTGCTCAGTTCATTTCTCCTAACCCAATGTTATTTGTTTATGAAATATGAAACTCACTTACAGTGGATTATGTATGAAAACATCGTAAGTTATGATTCATCAGTATCGATATGAGGCACCATGGAGGTACACTATCGTTTCTCCTTATGCATGTTTGAATCATTGAATAGCAAAACGGCTTACATACCAGCAGGTGCATCGGATCGAAGTCCGCCATATTGATTGTCTCCCTTGAGTATGATGATGAGGGCTAGAAACACCATTCTGACAATGGAGTCCCCATAGAAGTGATAGGTGCCTCCCCGGAGCAGCTCACAGGCAGCGGTGGGTGAAAATGTTTTCACTTGACATCTGACAAAAACATATCTTGATCATTACTGTATTAAGGACCATCAGAGTTTCTTAATGTCCATTTATAGTTGTAGGCAAAATGTAAAAATGTTAAAGCAGCTGTCCAGGCCTTCGGCATCATCAGCGAACATTTTGTGTTGCCCCAACTGATCATCATAATAAAAAAAAGCTGAAGTTCGTCTGGATCAGACAATCCAGTGAAGGAATTCGTGAGTATATATCTCCGCATTTGGGATATGTTTTTAGCGAGACCTGACCACCCGATTTGGTTAATCACAGGTAAATCTAAGCCATCAGCTGGATCAGGACATGCTAAATGTTGAAGATCTGATACGATGTAAATTGACAGTATTCTGGTATTGGTCAGTTCCCAATTTTCCATTGCCCTCTCGCTTTAGGAAAAACGTTTTAAGGATGTACTTGGTACACATGTGAAAACATCTCTCTGTACATTAAATGCGCGTCTGTATTACTTGCATAACAGATGCCTAGTAGCTGTGACAAACCCTGTTACTGGTCTTAGAATATACTGCACACTGCGTTGGTTTCCTTTTGGGCAACCCTTACATGGGTAAAGAGAGCAACAGCGTTCTGTAGTTCACCTGAATTATAGGATTGTGAAGATTGTGAGAGGGTAAAACGATGTAACAGAGCACTTTGAATATGTCATGAGGCCAACATTTGCAGTGTAATATGATATTCAACAGACGAAATATGTATAGCTTATACAATGTCACAATGCATGATAAAGTGGCGAGGTAATTGACAAACATACTTATATTTAAATTGTGGTCATGTTAAAATCAGAACAGAGCACTGTATGACATTCCTCCAGATTTTTATCAAAATAGTTACTCGAAGTTTTTCATCATGAGGAACAGAAAAAACAGTACCTAGCCGTGATATTGCTGGAATACTGCTAAAAGCGGCGTAAAACCATACTCACTCACTCACTCATCCCCTAATACCTGTTATCGTTGGGGATCCATTTCGAAAATTCAGCGTGTAACTGAGGTCGAAGGTCATAGCAGTCCGTACAGACACATTCTTCAAATGTTTTCAACTGACACGTGTTGTTATAGCAACAAGGGTTACTTCCCCTTGGGTTACACAATGCTCTAGTCCAGTCTGCCATTCTCTCACTTGACTTCCATGGATAGTAGCCCAGGTTCCCGCATCTTTTATCCGTCAGTTCGAAATTATTACTTCCGTTTACAGCGTAGAGGCCTTGTAGTAAAAAGGCTTCAATCTCATCTTCTTCTTTCTGTGTGATAGGACGTGTTGCCCACGAACCAGCCACCATATATTCGAGTACACTTGGACATGTACCATGTTTGTAGTAGGTTTCTATCGCTGGCAGATAAAATGTCCCTGGATGGTAAGTCCTGGCTACCATCAATAAGATGATTATTCCTACAGTTGCCAGGACAAAGACAGCACGCTGGAATTTACCTTTTGGGAAATCCTTCTCCATTCTGATTGCAGTTTGAAAGGAAAAGTAGCATATAACTATTGTCCATAGAATTCTAATTCACACGTTATTATACATCTTAATGTAATAACATAGATGATGCTTACACGGGCCAGACGTAGACCATAGACCACAGCTTTTCTGTAGATATAGTCCTGAGTCTTGCGAGCTTATTTCATCATTCCTCCTCGATGGGCAGGTGCATCGAGAGAAGGTTACTCTGAATATTGCCGGACACATTTTACATCTGTTCCGACATCTACTATTACATCAATTGCTACTACTGCTACTCATTTTACTACAACTGCTACTACTACTGCTACTGCTACTACTACTACTACTACTACTACTACTACTTCTACTACTGCTACTCCTACTACTACTACTACTACTACTATTGATACTGATACTACTACGTCTACTGCTACTACTAGTAGCACTTCTATTACTCCTACGTCTACTAAACTGTTACTGCAAATGCTACTACTACTACTATTACTTCTACTACTACGTCTACAAACACTTCTACTGCTACTGCTGCTGCTGCTAAGACTTTTACTGCTACCTCTACTACTACTTCTACTAATATTTCTATGGCTACTACCACTGCTATTGCTACTTCTACTACAACCTGTATTTCTGCTATTGCTGCTGCTACAACTATCACTGCTACTGCCACTATTTTTATAATTACTGCTCTGGCTATTGTTACTGTTACTGTCACTGCTTCTACTACTACTACTACTACTACTACTACTACTACTACTACCACGACTGTTACTGCTACAACTGTTGTTGCTGTTGCTACTACTGCATCTACTACTTCTACTACTACCTTACTACTACCTATATTACTCCTGTGGCTACTTGTGCTATGTCTACTAATATTACTACTTCTTCTACTAATACCACATCTACTAGTAAAAATTTGAGACGGTCAAGCCACTTTGCTTTTCATTGTTTTTCTATAACCGATTATTTCTATTTTAGTTTGGAATAAAGATACCTCAAAATGACATCGGGTAAAAGAAGGTCGACGTTGTGTCACGACTATGTTGCTATTGACCTCTGGATGACTATATAGATGATCGGGTCAGTATAGAGTATACAGTGACGGTGAACCGCGAGTTGCCGAAAGCGGCGTCAATGAAGAAATTAGATACTGGCCCAATGATTGTAGCGGGCATTGCCCCATTGGCTTTGAAAGGTGTTTTTTTCTAGCACTGACTGAACATTTTTTTGTAATAAACTCACCTGGTTAGTCCTGAGTAGCCTACACCTGTGTCAGCGCCTTGATAGTGAGTAAGTGAACATGGCCTTAGTGGGACGGTAATACGTCAAAAAGAAAATAATCAGTACAATTGCATTAGTTCTGTCTGTCTCGGTTTGTTGTAAATCACTGAGCTGGAATAAGTAGTGTTTCAAACATTCACGTCAAGTGATATGCTGATCCTTCAACAATCTATCTACCTCAATCTCTTTTAGCAGTGTATGCTTCGTGGTTGTGTTCGTGTAATGACTTTACTAACAACGCAGTCAATGGGGTTGTATGGTATCGGTTGCGCAGTGAGCGGGGTCACGTTACAGGTTTCAATCTTTTCGATTATCAGATAGCAAATAGCTTTGGGCTGTACACTCTACTGTAGCTGATCCCACAGCACAGTCTCTGTTTTCACGTCTCACTTTACCCCACGCAGCAATGTGGAACAATGGTGCAGTGTAGGTGCTCACAAAGAAACTGTCAAACAGAAAGGGTGGCCTTTGTATATCCGGATGGGAATGGGAATTGGTGTTTTATTTTCAGCGATCCTCCTTCAGCTTCAGTTTTTATCAATCAAGAATCGACAAACGTGTGTAGATCGGTTACAATGACACAACAAATACCTGACTAATGGACAAGGTCGACACTGAAAATTTTAGCGTAAGCTTCGGAGTCATTCTTTCCTTCTCTTTTCCTTTTCTTTTTAGACAAACTTCCTAAAAATACGTTTTTTTGTGAATAAATAAACGTCTATTTGGAATATTTTGCTTGAAACTAAGATTGTCTAAAACCCATATAATGATCTGTAATCTCAGCAAATGATGTTCTCTTTTTCTATGTGACCAGATGATGACGTCCTTAATGACAATGCACAGATTAAGTATGTGACTTGATGCTGTATTATGCTGCCAATAGTACAGTTATATCCGACAACCAGTCAGATCGAGCGACGTTAACACATGGTAGCAATCACTACATGCTTCCCTGGCTCCGGATGGCTTTTTCATTTACAATAGTGAGTGAGTATGGTTTTACGCCGCTTTTAGCAATATTCCAGCAATATCACGGCGGGGGACACCAGAAATGGGCTTCACACATTGTACCCATGTCGGGAATCGAACCCGGGTCTTCGGCGTGACGAGCGAACGCTTTAACCACTAGGCTACCCGACCGCCCCTCATTTACAATATACTCCCTTGACTCCACACTGCTAATCCCTTTATTATATATTTTCTTGGCTCCAAACGGCTTCTTAATTTACTATAAACCTTCGTGTATCCACGTGGCTTCTTCATTTACTAAATAGTTCCTTGGCTCCACACGGCTTCTTCTTTTACAATATACTCCCTTGACTCCACACTGCTTTTCCCTTTATTATATAGCTTCTTGACTCCAAACGGCTTCTTAATTTACTATAAACCTTCGTGTATCCACGTGGCTTCTTCATTTACTAAATAGTTCCTTGGCTCCACACGGCTTCTTCATTTACAATATACTCCCTTGACTCCACACTGCTTTTCCCTTTATTATATACCTTCTTGACTCCAAACGGCTTCTTAATTTACTATAAACCTTCGTGTATCCACGTGGCTTCTTCATTTACTAAATAGTTCCTTGGCTCCACACGGCTTCTTCATTTACAATATACTCCCTTGACCCCACACTGCTTTTCCCTTTATTATATACCTTCTTGACTCGAAATGATTTCTTCATTCACCATAACCTTCCTTGTCTCCACACGGATTGTTTTGTTAAGATATAATACTTCGGCTCCACTGAACTTATTCTTCTACTGTATACTTCTTTGTCTCAACTCCGGTTATTCCTTCATTACATACTAATCGTCTCCACACGCCTTATTCATTTACCACCCTATACCTTGGCATCACATTGCTTACCCCATCACAATATACTACCTTCGCCCCACACGCCCCATTCTGCCAATATACAACATTGGCTAATAATGGTTATAAATGTTTCTTTGGCTCCAGGCGGCTTATTCCACTACCACATGCTGTTTTGTGTCAACATGGCTAAATCCGATACTATGTGTTGGTGCAGAAGGTGTATTCCTATAAGCAGCCTCGGATTCATTGGCTTATTCCATCACTATGTCCTACTTCAGGTCCACTTGTCTTATTCCATCACTATGCCCTACTTCAGGTCCACTTGTCTTATTCCATCACTATGCCCTACTTCAGGTCCACTTGTCTTATTCCATCACTATGCCCTACTTCAGGTCACTTGGCATATTCCATCACTATGCCCTACTTCAGGTCCACTTGGCATATTCCATCACTATGCCCTACTTCAGGTTCACTTGGCATATTCCATCACTATGTCCTACTTCAGGTTCACTTGGCATATTCCATCACTATGACCTACTTCAGGTCCACTTGTCTTATTCCATCACTATGCCCTACTTCAGGTCCACTTGTCGTATTCCATCACTATGCCCTACTTCAGGTCCACTTGTCTTATTCCATCACAATGCCCTACTTCAGGTCCACTTGGCATATTCCATCACTATGCCCTACTTCAGGTCCACTTGGCATATTCCATCACTATGCCCTACTTCAGGTTCACTTGGCATATTCCATCACTATGTCCTACTTTAGGTTCACTTGGCATATTCCATCACTATGACCTACTTCAGGTCCACTTGTCTTATTCCATCACTATGACCTACTTCAGGTTCACTTGGCATATTCCATCACTATGACCTACTTCAGGTCCACTTGGCATATTCCATCACTATGCCCTACTTCAGGTCCACTTGTCTTATTCCATCACCATGCCCTACGTCATGTCCACTTGTCTTATTCCATCACTATGCCCTACTTCAGGTCCACTTGGCATATTCCATCACTATGACCTACTTCAGGTCCACTTGTCTTATTCCATCACTATGCCCTACTTCAGGTCCACTTGTCTTATCCCATCACTATGCCCTACTTCAGGTCCACTTGGCATATTCCATCACTATGCCCTACTTCAGGTCCACTTGTCTTATTCCATCACTATGACCTACTTCAGGTTCACTTGGCATATTCCATCACTATGACCTACTTCAGGTCCACTTGGCATATTCCATCACTATGCCCTACTTCAGGTCCACTTGTCTTATTCAATCACTATGCCCTACTTCAGGTCCACTTGTCTTATTCCATCACTATCACCTACTTCAGGTTCACTTGGCATATTCCGTCACTATGACCTACTTCAGGTCCACTTGGCATATTCCATCACTATGCCCTGCTTCAGGTCCACTTGTCTTATTCAATCACTATGCCCTACTTCAGGTCCACTTGTCTTATTCCATCACTATCACCTACTTCAGGTTCACTTGGCATATTCCGTCACTATGACCTACTTCAGGTCCACTTGGCATATTCCATCACTATGCCCTGCTTCAGGTCCACTTGTCTTATTCAATCACTATGCCCTACTTCAGGTCCACTTGTCTTATTCCATCACTATGCCCTACTTCAGGTCCACTTGGCATATTCCATCACTATGTCCTACTTCAGGTTCACTTGGCATATTCCATCACTATGCCCTACTTCAGGTCCACTTGGCATATTCCATCACTATGACCTACTACAGGTCCACTTGGCATATTCCATCACTATGTCCTACTTCAGGTCCACTTTGCATATTCCATCACTATGATCTACTTCAGGTCCACTTGGCATATTCCATCACTATGACCTACTTCAGGTCCACTTGGCATATTCCATCACTATGA